CTTAAAGTACCATGCTCTTACTGAATTCAATTTATCCAAAATACTAATGTATAAAAGAATTTTACACTCAGTTTCAGATGGCCTTTGTTCAGATTCATGATCTTTTAATGGACCCACAAGTGGATATTTTCCTGATTTTAGTTCTGGAGACAACAGAAGAAAAGCAAATTGATACCAATTAGATCTAGAAATCTGTTTTGAACAAGGATGCTGATTCCTAGGATTCTGTAGCCTTTTCTTTCTTCACCCAGTTTACAGAATTTGTTTTCCCCCAGAATGTTGCAGTTTATGTTTATATTTCCAGGAATGATCAAAAGTAGCCTTTTCTAGAATTACAGAGATACAGAAGTATAGGGACTCACAAGTATAACTAGATGACTTGGAAGGGAGATGTGCCAATGTCATGTTATCTTACAGCAGTGGAAGAATCCTTTGTCCCACAAGCTTAGAGATGACAGCATCAACCTGACTCGACGTGTAACAGAAGCCAGTGCTGCTCTTATCCTGGTCTTGCGTGTTCTCTAGCAGTTCCCTGTATTAAATAAGTAGGTAGTTTTTTTCTGTTGTTTTGTTGTTGTGTGCCATGGAGTCGATTCCAACTCACTGTGACACTATAGGGCAGAGTAGAATTGCCCCATAGGGCTTCCTAGGCCGTAATCTTTATGGGAATAGATAACTAGATCTTTTCTCCCATGGAGTGGCTGGTAGGTTTGAACCACTAACCTTTCAGTTAGCAGCTGAGGTCTAACTGCTGTGCCACCAAGGCTCTGTAGGTTTCTTTCTCGTGCTAGACAACTGCCCATGGTTTCCCCACATGGAAATCAGAAAGATTAACTTTTGAAAGATTGTTAGGTCATTTTATTGATTGAAAAAAACAAAACAAAAAAAACACCACCAAACTCCCTGCCATCGAGTCAAATGCGATTCATAGCACCAACCCCCAGTGGATTTCCAGGGCAGTCAATCTTTATGGAGTAGATTGCCCCATTTCCTTCTGTGGAGCAGGTGGTGGGATTTAACCACCAACCTTCTGATTAGCAGTCAAATGCCTTAGGCACTGATCCACCAGAGAGCCTTATATTCCTGATCAGCTAATGTTAAAAATCATAATCCAGCAATACCCACCAACCTCATTAAATGCTCCTATCTTTTCAGAACAGCATTCTTAAGACCTATAAAAGCCTATGTTAGATGTTCTTCTTCCCACCAAATAAGCATGCAGCACATCACTTGCTTATCCCAGAACTTCTCTTAGGAACCTAACGAACAGCAGGGTAGAGTAAGATAGGGTGATGGAGTTACTTCCCCCACAGGCTTGTCAAATATGTTTGAATCTCTTTCCCTTTCAAAGCCTCCCTCCCATTTTGACCCCCATTTGAGTGAGGGGTGTAGAGAGGTATAAAGGTGGGGATTTTCTTTACTTGTTCAGGGAAATATTTCAGTACCAGCTAAATAGCTGATATAAAAGGGATATAAAGAGCTGGCTGCCCCAAAGCCTTCGCATGTGGCAGAGGGAAAAGGATAATGCCAACCAATCGGGGCACATAAGTTTTTGGCTGCCATGATGGAAGACTTAACAAAGGACAGCGGGGGCACAAAGAGGAGGGTCAGATCTACCTGGAGATGAAGTACGTCATCATCGGTGGGCAGCATTTGACCTGGATCTTGGAAAAATAAGTGGAGGTGAAGAAGGGACTGAAGACAGGAGTAAGTGCGGAAGGAAAGACAGAGAGCAGGGTGTCACAGAAACTAAAACACACAGAAATCTCAAAGGAGTGGGTAAACATTTCAAATGACAGGATTTAGTTCCATGAAGGAGTTCCTGGGATTTGGGAAATAGGTTATGGCTGACCTTTGAAAAAGCCACTTTAACGAGCAGTGGGCAGAAGCCTGGCTGTGAATTAAAAAAGGGTGAAAAGCATACAGAAAAAAAAAAAAAAATAGAAAAAGAAATGAAAGTCAAAAAGTGGTGGCAACTACTCCTTAGAGCCATTTGCCTTTTTCACTTTTAAGCCTCCTAGTTCAACTATCGTTAGAGAGGCATCTTCTTTCTACGGGAAAATGATTCCCAATTACAACCAACTAACTCATAAACAAGTTTTTAGACACAATCTATTCTCAATTTAGAGAATGCCTACATTCTTTCTTAAAATGAGTACTACAAATCATGTTTCTACAGATTGACTCTGACATCACTAATTTTCCTTTCATGTACTCCAAAATAAATAGCATTTGTAATTGTTTAATATCATAGAAAAGGTGCTTTATTTTACATATCATTGGTACACAATACATAAAACCATCTAAAATCAGTTCTTGGAAAACACAACAACAAAGTCTATTTTGCAATCTACTTGATTTATGATTAGATGACTACAATTATTTTAAATACTAATAATCTCTTTATAGCCAAAGTTACAAATGATTTTTATGTTACAAATGCTGCAGCTTTATTTTTTTTTTAAAAAAAGCATCTTTATAGTTATAGTAGACCATATCTCTAATCAGAACATATCTTTGCTAGTGTACAAGTCTTGAAAATGGGTGAACAGTTTTGCCTTTCCATAGACAACTATGTTTATGTAATTGGGTCATGGGGTAGAGGGTGACATGTGGTAAGATTATTTCTTTTTTAAATTTCAGATAAAACTGAGTTTATATTTGCCTTATTTATAATTAAAGTTGCCAAAGAAAGTTTACTAAACTAAAATGAAGCCCAACAGTATTCTAGAAAACGTAATTTTAAGAGCATGCACATCAAAAATATTTTTTACTACATATGTGAACGAAAGTTTTGCAGAGCACAGGAAGAGAATGTGGCATAAAAGCTTGATACATCTGAATTCCTTAACCAACTGGAGGAGTAAAGAAAGTAATTTAACTCAATGTAAATCTTCTTATGGAAAATATATGTATGATATGGCCCACTGCTATATAACAGGAAGATGCACAAGTCCTAAGAAGCTAGAAGCACTTCTCTTTATTTGTCCCCAATCCATACTACTCATGAACATACAACTCCAAGATCTCTTACTACCTACTAGTGTCAAAGTCACAGAGATTTCTCAATGGCATCTTTCAGTCACCAATCATTTTTCAGAGAGATAAATGTGACTGCTTAGTGTACAAATGCCCCCTCCCCCCCAAAAAATGACAGCAGAATCTGGGCTAATTCTCAAAATGAAAACATTTATTATTTTAACAATCCTTTGGAATAGAAAGACCGTCCTTCCCTCTGGAAAGTAAGTTGTATGTTAGAACCATAGCTTCATATTCACCTCCTGGTCTAGAAAAGCAGAGGCATTTAAGAAAAGTAAACCAAAGGCTTGAAAATACTCAATAGGTAGAACTCTGACACTCGAACAAATAATCTATCCTTTGCTTAAAATAAATTTATTCCTTGTCTTTCAGAGAAGTGCTTCAATTTTACAATGAAAAATACTGGGTTGGGGGGTGGGAAGAGAAGTGCTTCAAGATACAAATTGCTAATTAATGCAGAATAAGGAGTTCAAAGCCAGGCTTTTTCTAATAAAGCAAATGCATCATTAAAATAATTGGGCTTAAAATATGTATTTACTATAACTTCCCATTCTTTTTTAACTAAATATACACATACATATGACAAACCCTAGCATTTAATATGTGCAAAATTGCTTACCATTTATTTTAACTTTACCTTTGGTTAAGTATTTGTTTAGCCTATATCAGACACATTATGGAAGCTACACAAATGATTACAAACATAATATTGAGGTAAGTTAAAAGTCTACTAGTGCAAAAGCAAGCATATGCTAAAAGCCAAGCATATGAGTTAAACAAATGCAGGATGAAGCTCTCACCAAGGGACTTGCTGGAATACCTGGAGAAGCTCCTTGTAAACATTGTTTATAAAGTACAAATTATAGGTTAAGGATTCATACAGCCTCAAAAAAAGGTATTCTGCCAACACCATCGTAGTGCATTTATTTTACCTTTAGAGTTCAGAAACCACTCACTGCGTGTCTCATCATTTGTGTTAAGAGTTTGCATATTTTCAAGAGAAACCTCACGAGACACATTAATTACAAATACTGTAGTATAAAAATCCCAGTTCTTTACAAAAATTATATATTAAAATATTCTATACATTTTAAATTAGTAACTGGAACACACATATATATCTGTTCTGCACAATTAAGTCCATCTTTGCTGAGGGCATTGTACATTAAGTCTGAAGACATAGCTACTCAGTCAACCTAAACTGGTGTCAAGTGATGTGGCATAAAAGAATAGACCTGTGCCCCTGCAGTTACTGCAGCTCTTAGCTTGAAATATCTTTTCTGCAATTATTGCTCTTGTATATTTCCAGATTTGAATAGGCAGTGAAATTATGAAAATTCCTAAAGGTTTAAAACATATTACCACTAACAGAGTGTTCATAATACCTATCTGTTTTATCTTTAAGGTTGTAATGGAACCTGAGTAAGCAGTCTAATGCTTATATTTCAGTTGTAAAAAAGTTTATACAACTTCAAGGTAAAAACAATGCAAAAATAAAACATTTAGAGCATTTACAAAATCTTACAAATGTTTAAAACACTATTTCAAAACCTGTATCCTGTTAAGGTGCTTCTTTCTTTCTGCAATAGGAGGACATAAAGTTTAATTCTGAATTTTAAGTTAAGAAGTTTTAATTTCAGCAAAAGCAAAATTAGGATGATTAAGACAGATGTTAAAATGTTCAGGATGTATTTCACTTCTTATGAAAATAGATAATTTTAATGTTGAAAGGGATCTTAAAGGTAAACTCTTTTAACTGCTTCATTTACTAGTGAGAAAACTGAGGGCCAGGTAAGCAAAGTGCTTTGGTCAAAAATACATAAAATATATTGGCCTGATAAGAATCAGGACAATCCATCATTCTTTTTGTATTTTATCATGATCTTTAGAAAATAATAAAAATTCAAAAGGAGACTTTCTGAACTTGCCTCTTTAAAAAAAAAAAAAAAACACTTCTTACACTTTGTGCTACTGTAAATAAACAAAAAAGAATAAAATGCTCCTAAAATTAGTATAAGTATTATTTGATAGAACATAGTTGTTATCAGATGAGAGAATACTTAAAGCTAGGACATTTCAATATAAAGAACATTTACTATATAAGAGCATAATAGACAACAGCCAGTTACTAGAATCATCTAGTAACTCTAGGATGACTGAGTTACACGCCTTTATAAAAGATATTAGGGTAATAAAGCCTTCTGGCTTTATATATACTAATATATCTATCTATCTATCTATCTATATATACACAAACACATATATATATCTATATATATGCTAATTGTCAGAGTCTTTGCTTCTTTTCTATTTTTATTTGGATCTAGAATTGAGCAAATACATTTTAAGAACAACTTACAAACTCAAATTCATAACTGCTACAGATACAATCAGAGAAGACTCTTTTAAATGACAAATCTTTGTAACTAGTTACTAATAAATAATCATAACAACAGCTTCAGTAAAAAGCCAGTTCAACTTAAAGGTGCTTTCTTATTGTTACCTTGAAGCCATCGAACTTGGGTAGCTGGTCCATATCCCTTTTCATTCTTTGCTGATATCCTGAACACAATGGCAGGCCTGGATGTGTAATCAATATGTGCATTTGCAAGTTGCCCCGCAGTTACTATACATGATGTTTTAAGACCACAATAAATCCTCATAAACACAAGTTGACTTGGATTATCTTGTATCTGTGCCGTACGGATAGCCAAGTAGGCTGAGTATTCCAAAATATTTCCAGATGGTGAAGTGGGAGGTTCCCAGGAAAGGTGGATACCCTCAACATTCTTGAAGGGGGGGAAAAAAAAAAGGTTCTAAAATTTTGTCTATTGTCACCTGTTAAGTTGAAACTAAGAATAGAAAATGTTCCTTTTTGCTAAAATGTTTCCATATGTTGGTGTATCTTTGTTAATTAAAAAAAAAAAAAAAACCTCTAGCTTACTGGATCTAAAATGTTTAATTCATGCCCATTTTTCAAAAAACACAACTATACTTAAATGTCTGCCTGTAATATCCCAATGAACAGTAGAGGATTAATTCACAGTACAGTAAAGCGTTAACTCAGCAGGCTTGGAGTAGTCAAACTGCACATAGCAAAGTCAAGGGCTGACTCCTGATCACTCCGATCATTCCAAGGGATTCCTCTAATCCCTTGGAATATCCTACCTGATAAAGGTGTTGTATCATCTCAATAACTCTAGTATAACTGAATCATACGGCCTTTATAAAAACATTGGCGCAACAAAGCCTTCTGCCTTTATATATACTAACATATATGCATATAGGGTCCCAGGCCACACCAGATAGTTTATGCTAACAATGTGATTTATGGTGAACACCTGTTTTTGTTTATGTTGAGCCTTGGGTCACATGGTATCTATCGGTTTGATCTCTTTGGAGGGAGTGGGGCTAGAGCCCAAGTAGCTAAGTCAGTCACACAGGTGTTCCCTGCCTACATGACTGATGTCCCATAAAACCAAGTGAGCTTCCCTGGTTGACAATAGTTTGTAAATGTTGTTACACATCATTGCAGGGAGAATTAAACTCTGTCCTATGACTCCACTGGGAGAGGAGAACTGGAAGCTCATGCCTAGTTTCCTTTGGACTATGCTCTATGCACCTTTTTCCTTGGCTGATTTTAATCTGTATCCTTAAGAAAACATTAACCATGAATGTAACACCTTTTTTGGGCAGATGATATTTCTATATATGTATCTGTATATGCTATAAGAAAAGAAAACATTAACTGTAACTATAACATCTTTTTTCAGTACTGTGAGTTTTTCTAGAAAATCAAACTTGATGGTTGTTTTGGGGATCCTGACATATCCATCAACGGCTCCTCTCTTCCCTGAAAGCAGAACTTCTCTAAGGAGAGGCAGAGACTTAGGATAAAATGTAATCTAAATAATAGTGTGTCTATTAAGACTGTCTAGCATAAACTTTTTAGGAGCTCTGGTAGCGTAGTGCCTAAGGCACTGACTGCTAACCAGCAGGCTGGCGGTTCAAACCCACCAGCCACTCCTCGGAAGGAAGGTTGGGCAATCTACTTCTGTGGTGATACCTCCCTGTCGGGTCTGACTCAATGGCACATAACAACAGCAGCATAAACTTTTTAGTTCTGTAACAACAGAACAAATCTAATATTATGAAACATATCACATTTCCCTACCTTTCTGTGATTTAGATGCTGTAATTCTGCTTGAAATTTGGTCCTTACAAATATCATGAGTGATTAGCAAAAATATATTCTTTAAACCTTTAATCCACCCCTTTTTGGAAAACTTTCATTTCATCAGATATCATTATGAACCTCTAAAAAGGCAGTTTTACTTCATGTACAAAGTTTCAAATAATTTAAATCACCAACAAGCCTTGACCGAATGTCTCACCTTCGAAATTCTGACTGCAGACGGAGCTCCGGGAAAACCAGGAATGCAAGTTTTAAATTCACTAATTTTGCTGAAAGGGCCTATTCCACAACCATTGATTGCAGCAACCCTGAATCTATATCCTGTGCCTGGAACAAGATCTTGTTTCTTAAGTAAACTGTAGTCAGGCACATCTGCATTTCCTACCTGAAATAGAATAGATGAGTAAGTCAAAGAAAAGTTGCAATTAATTACTTTCTTCATTAAACAAATGAACTTTCATGGTTCTAGTTCACATTTACTTATTTCTCTCTCACACACAGGGAATGAGCTCTCCAATACAGAAGCATCTAAGCCTATAAATCAAGGATTCTTATCCAGAGAAAAAATGCCATTTTTGGTTAGAATCACTGATTACAAAGAGAAATGTAAGGGAATAGCATATGAACAGTATGAAAATAAAAAAAAAAAAAAAATTGATGACTGCAGTAAGTAAAGTGACAACTATCCCATCCCCATGGAAACTTAAAGTAGAAATCTCAAAAGATTTACTGTCAAATAATAGTTTCGGCAAGAACAAATCTCTTTGAAGTTATACAAGCAGCATGACAATGAGGAATGATAAGCAAGTAGTAATGGAGCATTTTAAAATTAATATTCACCAAAGAAGATACACAAATGGCAAAGAAGTACATGAAAAGATGTTCAACGTTATCAGTCATTAGGGAGATGCAAATCAAAACCACAATGTGATACCACTTCATACCCATTAGGATGACTATTATCAGAAAAATGGAAAATAACAAGTTTTAGTGAGGATGTGGAGAAATTGTACTGTGGGGGGGAATGTAAAATAGTACAGCTGCTGTGGAAGAGTTTGGCAACTTCTCAAAAAGTTAAATACAGAATTACTGTATGACCTAGCAATTCCACTTCTAGCTACCATACTTTTACACAAATAATATATTATAAGGTTATTTTTGCCAACCATACCCTCCCCCAGCGAGGTGTTTTCATAAGCGTGCTGCTGTATTAAATGGTGTGTGTATGTGTGTGTATAAAATGGAGTATTATTCAGCCATAAAGAGAAATGAAGGTCTGATACATGCTATGACACGGATGAACCCGGAAAATATGCTGAGTGAAGTAAGTCACTCGAAATAACAAATATTGTATGATTCCACTTATATGAAATATCTAGAATAGGCAAATGCAGAGAGATAAAAAGTACCTGGGGAGAGGGGGGAACGGAGGATTACCGCTTAAGAGGTACTGAGTTTCCATATTGGATGATGAAAGACGTTTGGAAACAGATAGTAGTCATATATAAATACAATAAATGTCACTGGATTGTATACTTAAAGTGATTTAAATGACAAATTTTTGTTATATATGTTACTACAATAAAAAAACAATATTCAACAGACACTGAATAAATATTAAACTTAATAATTAGATTACATAATTGAGGTAGGAATATCATAAGATTTACAATTGTCAAATAATTTTCATACACTCTCTTTAACTCTCACAACACTCGATCTCAGAGGTTCAGTCAGTCACACTGCTGAGTGAGAGAAGTAGTATGTATGCAAGTTCATTTACTGGTTAGAAACTTTATGCTGTTTTTGTTTTTCCTTTTGGGAAAAGGCAAGTAGCTACTAGGCCCTTAAATATGAATATTTCTTTATATATAAAGTTGAACTATAGCCAGAACTTTAATTAGGCATATTACTCACAAATTATTAATACTTCTATTTTTGTCAAGGATTAGAAAAACTCAATATTAAAAAGAGGGACATCAATTAGAGAGAAGCAACTCAAACAACGAGATAGCATCTTACTCCAGCAGTAATAGCAAAGTTCAAAAAAAAAAAAAAAAAAAAACGGAATACAACAAATGTTAGCAAGGCTGTGGAATTATAGGAACTCTCATCCACTACTGATGGGACTGTAAAATGATATAAACACTGGAAAATAATATGGCACGTACATAAAAAGTTAAAAATTAGAAATACCATATCATCCAATAATCCTACTACTAAGTATATATCCTAGAGAAATAAGAGTCCTGGCATGGACAGAGAAATGCACAGTTATGTTCACCACCACAGTGTTCACAATAGCAAAAAGAAACAACATAAGTGCCCATCAACAGATTAATGGATTAACAGACTATGGTACATGCACACAATGGAACACTATGCAACATTAGAGTAATGATGAATCTGTGAAATACCTCATAAGATGGATGAACCTGGAAGATATGCTGAGTGAAATAAATCAATTACAAAAGGACAGATATTGTATCACACAAAAAGAAACATTCTTTGATGGTTACCAGATGGGAGAGGAAAAGAAGGAAAATTACTAACTACAGAGTTGTTGTTGTTGTTGTTATTTGCCGTCGAGTCGGCCCCTACTCATAGCGACCCTTCCTTGGGTTTCCGAGGCAGTGTCACTACAGAAGTAGGATTGCCCAACCTTCCTTCCAAGGAGTAACTACAGAGTAGATATGTATTAATTTGGGTGAAGAGAAAGACAATATTCAATGAGGAGGTGTTTTGGTTACCTGGTGCTGCTCTAACAGAAAATACCACAAATGGGTGGCTCCACCGAACAGGAATTTATTCTCTTACAGTTTAGGAGGCTAGAAGTCTGAGTTCAAAGTTCCAGCTCTAGTGAAGTCCCTTGACCTTGGGCTTCAGCTCTCTATCCTGCTCCCAGCCCACTGGAGCTGGAGGCATCTCTTCACTCAGCCAGCTGCAGGCTGCTGAGGCTAACAAGGCCAAGGTTGACAAGTAAAACGGCACAGTTCCAAGATTATCACACAACATGGCAGGCCATTGGTTCAAGTCCAGGAAGATCAGCAGACAATATGGCAGGCTGCTGAATGAAGACTTGCCTACATGCAGAGTCCAAACATGCCAAAAAGCTGCAGAAAGTATTCTCAAAGCTTCTTCTTACACACTGGAAGCAGACCACATCCCTAAGGCAGCTACTCAGCTGCTCCAGTAGATTCCATCATGGAACTGATTACCGCTCTCATCATGGGGAATAACTACATGCAACTGTCCAGCCACTCAAAACCAGGCCCAGCCAAGTTGACACACAACTTAACTACTACAGGGGGAGATCACACATGACCAAGGCAAAGGAAGGCACTGAGAGTTGCACAAGAGTAAAAGACAACAAAGGCAAATACTATTATTTATACAATCTTGCAGTAACAGTACTAATAAGCAATAATTTATGAGTAGATACATAGGTAGACATGCAAGCTGAATAGATGTGGGAAGGTGAATGGGAGTATACCCACAAATACATATATATACATATAGTGGAGGATATTTCTATTTTTTTAAAAAATTTTTACTGTGATTTGGGTGAAAGTATACAGAGCAAATTCATTTTCCATACAGCAATGCATACACATTTTGTTTCAAGACATTGACTGCAATCCCCACAATGTAACATCTCCCTGAGCAAATACCGCCCTTCTGTTCTCCCACGATTGATCATTCTAAGGAGTATACCTACTCGATATAAATGTTCACCCCACATGCCTATGTACTGTTTGGCTGGAAGCCACGGGAGTGAGTTCAATTCCAGACCTGAAGGGGAAGGAGTCTCAAGGGTCTCACCAGGCTCCATCAGACCAGTAAACCTGGTGTTTATGATTTTGAGTTTTGTTCCACCTCATTCTCCCATTCTATCTAGGATCTCATGTACTGATCTCTTTTGGAGTGGTTGACAGTGGTAGCTGGGCACCATATAGTTCTGGTCTCATGGTCATAAGGCTGAGGTTCGCAGGTCCACTAGTCCCTTGAACTAATTGCTTCCATGTGTCTTTGGCTTTGTCCATTCTTCTTTGCTCTGGATGAGGAAAGATCCACTGTTGCATCTAGATGGCCAATTCCAAGCTTTTAAGAGCCTAGTTACTACTCACCAAAGCAGGATGTAGAACAATGCTTTTATGCAGTATGTTATGTCAATTGAGCTTGATGTCTCCTGTGACCATGGTCCTGAGTCCACAGGTCCAACAACTCGCTCCATCAGGGTGGCTGACTGTGCCTAAGAAATTATCATAGCTTTGCCCACTGTTAGTTCTAGTTATATGGCCATTCTTACAGCACATACAAATATGTATGTATGTAGAAATATCGTCTGCCAATCTTATATATGATCATGGGTATATTCCCTTTTGCCTAGACATATCTCATCATTCAGCCTATCTATCCATCTATTAACCCACAGATTAATGTTTGTTGTCATTGATAATGCAGTATTGCATATGTAAAAGGGTTTATCTTTATTGTGCACTTCTCTGTCTTCCTTTTTCTTAGTGTTGTTGTGTTGGTCACTCACTTTTGGTATACTGCCTTTCCCTTCACCCAAATCAATACTTGTCAGTAGAGGATATTTCTACATATGTATCTATTATATGCTGCACAAATGTTGTTGTTGTTATGTGCCTCAAGTCGGACCCTCCCTGGGTTTCTGAGGCAGTATCACTACGGAAGTAGATTGTCCCATCTTCCTTCCAACGAGTGGCTGGTGGGTTTGAACCGCCAGCTTTCTGGTTAGCAGTCAGGTGCCTTAGGCACTATGCTACCAGAGCTCCCATGCTACAAGTAAAACCATGGATACAGTACGGCATCCAGAGGGCAAAGTTCTGAAAAATTCTTAGCTGTAACCAAACACCTTGGGGGACGAGTCACTGGGCTTGGGGGCTTAGGCTTGGAGGTTATCTAGGTCAACTGGCACAATATAATCCACAAAAACAATGTTCTACATCCTACTTTGGTGAGTAGTGACTAAGGCTCTTAAAAGCTTGTGAGCAGCCATCCAAAATGCAACTATTGGTCTCTCCCCGTCTAGAGCAAAGAAGAGTTAAGAAATTCAAAGACTCAAGGCAACAATTAGACCAAAGGGCTAATGGGGCACAAGAACCACAGCCTCCATTACCCTGAAACCAGAAGAACTAGATGGTGCCCTGCTACCATTACCAACTGCTCTGATCAGGATGGCAACAGAAGGTCCTGGAGAGACTAGGAGGGGAAAAAAAAGTAGGAAAAGAAAAATCAAAATCATAAAAAAGACTAGACTTACAGGTCTGATAGAGACCATGGCCCTTAGACACCCTTACAGCCTAGAACTGAACCCATCCCCAGGGATCATTTTTCAAACAATAGACAAAGCACATAAAGTGAACAATAATACGAGCAAGGAGCATAGTCCTCAGAGCAAGCAACCACATGAGACCAAAAGGGGAGCAACTGTCCAAAAACAAAGTTCAGAAGGCAGGAAGGAGCAGGAAAGAAGGATGAGTGGAAAAAGGAAACCAGGGGGGAAGTGGGAAGAGTGCTGTTTCATTGTGGGATTGCAACCAATGTCACAAAACAAAATGTATACAAATTACTGAATGGAAAACTAATTTGCACTGTAAACTCTCACCCAAACTATACTAAAAAGTTTGAAAAAAAATTTAAAAACCCATAATTATGATTTAAAAAAGGGGGGGGTACATCAGAAGTAGTATTTGAGAAACTAAAATATAATGATAATGATATATTCTCCATTTTTGTAGACCTTCAAGAAACTCAAAATGGATATCCATTGCCTTGTCAATTCCCTCCCAGGAAGTCACCATCCCAGAAAAAAGTAAGTCTTATATGCTTTGGACCTGTTGTCTACTGCATAATTCTTTAAGGGCCGTTGTCTCACATATATTTATGAAGTCCTCTTTAGGGGCATCAAGGGAAAATTAGATTGCATTCAGTAGAATGAAGAGACTTTTATTCTATTAAAATCTTTTAAGTCATGAAATCAGTAAAATAGAAAATATTTTCCAGTTTAAAAAAAAAAAAGATTCTATTCTCTAAACATACTGGGCAACAAAATTAGAGATTAAAAAGAAGCAACAACAAAAAAAACCTCATTCATACTGGCCAGACTAGACTAAACCTCAGAATACTGCCCAGTGATTGTATAAATTTTTTAAAAGTACACGCTTCTTATATATTCCTTTAGAAAGAGTCTTTAAAAAGAATACAAGATAAATAGGTATACCAAACAAAAAACCAAACTCACTGCCATCGAGTCAATTCCGACTCACAGCGACCCCCTGTGACTTTCCAAGGCAGTAAATCTTTATGGAAGCAGATTGCCCAGTCTTCCTTCTGCAGAGTGGCTGGTGGGTTTGAACCACCAACCCTCCGGTTAGCAGTCAAATGCCTTAGGCATTACGCCACCAGAGCTCCTTAAATAGGTATACAGAACTCTTCAGTTATGGACTGTGAACAGATCCCAATTTCAGTCATTCAAGTGAGAATCAGGAATGTAAAAAATCTCATTTTTGAGGCTTAAAACTAGAAATTAGAAAATGTATCAATAGCTACCTTTGAGATGCTTTGCTTTCCTTTTGGCAGCAAATAAAACTGGCTCACCAATGCTGTGTTATTTTTAAAAATTCCCACATCACACCACTGTCGTTCTCCTGCTTTCACTGTGGCCACTGGATTTGAAGGAGTATCTTTCTAATTTTGGACCAAAAAAAAAAAAAAAAAGTTTATGAAGATTCTTACTGAGCATGTATGAAATTTTAAGAGCTAATAAATTCATGCAGTGATTTATACATAGGTACACAAATAAACACATTAATAATAGTTCCTAAGTAAATAAAGTCTTAACAGAATAGGTCAATTGTCAGGGAAACAGGGAGCTAATTCAAACACAGGGGTGACGGGCATTCTCCAAGTCAGTAGCTCTGTACTACCAACCTAGCTGGAGTTAGCATGCTCTCAAATGAGTGGTATGTCAAACGCCAACTGTTTTATTCAGAGACTCTCTTAGAAAATGTAATCCTATTTGTTATGACATTACAACTTGCTCCAAATGAGCAAATAAAGAAAAATTCATTCCAAGCTGGCTCATGTCTAGATGCAGAAACAGCTAGCAGAAACTCAGTGATCTCTGTACTTGAGATACCTGTGATTCTCCACACCTAAAAGGAGAAAAAATGTTCAAAACTAAAATGCAGTTTGCATATACTTTGAGCACATAAATTCACTACAGAGGAACAGATTGAACAGTTTTACAATTTTTACCCTGCTTTAAAACAAACAAATTTCCTCTACCTTAAGTTACTTTTAGTGGTAAGTGAATTATACTTATCCCTGGAACTAACCTTTTTAAGCCATCTTCTTTATAAATGAGACACTGTTTCCAGAAGCTCAAAACAAATGTGCACTTCAGTTATTTATTTCTGTCTTAAATATATAACAGCAGAGGTACATGCTTATAATTCACATTATTTGTTATTTAGGCTATCATACATGACAAAGTGAGGTAACCAGAAGTCTTTAAGAATTTTAAAAAAAAGTGCTTTAAAACTTTTCATTTTTTAGGTTGCAAAAACTCTTTTCAACTTTTATAAACAACTGGCTCCTACTGAGATCACAAATATCATTCTGGCTGATTCATTGCAAAACAGATGCTAAGAGAAAAAAAGTTCATTTGAATAAACTTTCCCTGAGAAGACTCTATGAACAACACTAGGTCTTAATATTCTGGAAAGATGAAAGCAAATATATAACCAAAATCCACACGACTGAAAGAAAACAAAAATTATAGACAATTCTTAAAGATTCCAAAAAGTAAAGATTAGGTCAAATAAAAATTCTTGCACAAAGCAGTAAAGATGAAATGGCTGGAAAAAAAATCTTACAAAATGTTTACATATTAGCCTTATATTTATCTAATTAAGACAATCTTGGTATATTTGTGAAGCACACTTCTAGCATTTTAAGTTTGGTGCCACGCAGACCAATTCTGATCTTCCATAAACCACTCTTGGTGTCAACGTCAGAGATTATGGGCTACTTTATATGGATGTCTAACTCAGTATTACAATATTCTCTTATGCTATTAAGAAGCTGGCAATAGTGCCATCCAAGGTTTATGCTCTGTAACATATCCTATCATTTACTCTTTAAACTATGAATGTAATGGATGTATTTTATGTGTATATACACATGCACACACATGTATTTCCGATTATAAAAGTACTATGTTTTCAAAAAAAAAAAAAGTACTATGTTTTCAGTATAGAAAGCATAAATAAGACAATAAAAGTTACCTGTGGCCCCACTACCTGAAGAGAGTCATCTAATATTTTGGTGTGGATGTGTGTGGGTACAGGTGAGAGTGTGAGTGCATGTACTGTACATATTTTTTAACCAAACTGGGACTACAGTATGTATATATTATTTATATCCAGCTTTTTTCACTTAATATTATATTGTGAATATTTTCCTATTCAATTGTTCAATTCTAAATTTATGTCAATTTGTTACTAAACAGGACCTAAGCCATTTTTAAGAATTTATTTAGAAGTTGTTCAGCATTTAAAAGCACATACTCATATGCAAACATGCATCATCTCCAGGCCATGGACTTACAGAAAGTGGGACTGTTGCTGCAGCAGAGGTTTCTACACGGCTGATCTTAGTTGCAGGCAGTGCACATGTTTCATCAACTAAAAATAAAGTAAGTCAACACATAAGACTTGAACAAGCACTTATCAGACACATTTCAATGTAATTTATAAATATACAAAAATAACCAGAGGGAGAAAACCACAATAATTAGAAATATGAACCTCTAACGTAAACTAATTCATCAAGTTCATCTTGTAAATGAAAATTTACAAAATTATAAAGTAATTAAGCTAGAACTGTTAATCCATAGTCTGGAACTAATCTTTTCTAAGGAAAAAAAAAATGCTGAAATTTATTCATGTGCTAATCTAAATATTTTTAGGTAAGGCAGCAGAGAACATAGAGTGATTTTAATTGAAATACTTTATCTGCTTATATATGATTCAATCCAAGATGAAATGCAATTCCCACCTAAGACAAATAAGTTGATGAATTTCTATACATAAATGTCTCAAAATACAGTATGTGAAACACATTTCAAACCTTCAGATTTGGTACTGAATGTTGTTAGTGAAGTTTCATCTTTAACAACTGCCCCATTTGTACTGGATGACTCAGTTTTAATGGTCTGCTGGGTTACCATAGTTTGTGCGCTGGAAACAGTACTGGATACAGAAGTTTCAGGGATTACTGTTCTTAAATCCAGGCAACTACTTAGAACACCTACATGTGCTGAAGTGTGAGGACCTGCAATTAAAGGGAATCAATTATTAATAAAACACCTACAGATAATGATTGTGTTTTATAGTTCGTCATACAATTCTTGGCACTTTCAGTTTTAAAATCACAAATATGAGTATCTCAATTAGCATTTATATATATTATTAAATTTTTAAAAAATGTTTTTAAAATAATAAAGTACATTATATCCATAACAGATGTCTACCATCTCAGCTCCCTCTTCCATTCTAAACACTGAATCACTGTTCTCAAACTCCATACTAAATCATGGATTTAAACATTGTCAGCAAATAGCCTAGCCTCATCTTAGAGGAAAAACGAAATGGAGATCATCAAGTATGAATCCTCTTAAATTTCTGTCTATTTCCACCCCAAACTAGACAAGTATTTATGATAGTGCCTATCTTCCCCATCTTTTCTGTGTCACAGGATGAGCGGATCTCCCTCCCTCCTACTTTGTGAGTCTCTTTCATCAATCTCCTCTTTTTCCAAGGCTGGCAGGCTCTTTTTCCTTAGTAGTTTCTCACTCTCAGTCCATAAACATAATGCCTCTCCAGCAAACAAACACACCTCTTTCTTGACCCCACAAGTACCTTCCAGCTA